CACCGGCCACACGTCCAGCACTTTGACATTCACACTGTAGGGCTCCAAGGAGATGTTCTCGGGAAGCGAGCTCACCTCGCCTTCGATCACCACGGCCGATCGGTAAGCCTGGTCCTGCAGCGAATCCAAACTCGGGGCGTAGCAGGCGAAGGAGACCCCGATGACGAGCATGGAGAAATGCACCGGATCAAGCCTCCTCATGCCGTCTGCTGTGGCTCAGGGGCGGCCGGCGGCGCTGCTGCAGTGCTCTCGGGGCAGAAGGTGCTGGGGGACTGAGTGCGAATGGGCTTGCGCAAGTGTCCATGCCATCCGCGTGTGCCGCTTTCCCCATGCACTTGGTGACGGGGAAACACCAGCCGCTGAGGAACCGGAATCAGACCCGGTCACTGCTGGGCTGCTGCATTCTCCTTCAAAGCACAATCTCCAAACTCAATAAGCATGCATGCATAAATGACGCTCCTTTGCTGCAAGACGCTCCTCGCGCACACACTCCCTCTCTCTCTCTCACACACACACTATCTCTCGCTCTCTCTCTCTCTCTCGCTAGCTATCTATCTATCCAGCCAATGTCATCATTACCATCATCAACATCTCGCGGACGGGCAGAAAGACGGTGATCGTTTTAATCTAGACGGTGCTCGTGCACACACAATCGGCGGAGATGCCAATTAACTTGTATTAACTAAATCAAATCAATATTTGGTGTGACCATCCTTTGCGTTCAAAACAACTTTTGCCCTAGGTGCACTTGAGCATAGTTGTTCAGGTAGCTTTGCAGGTAGGTCTCTTGAAGCATCTTGGAGACATTGCCACAGTTCCTCTGTATTTAGTCTGTCTTGGTTTTTTTTCAGATTCTTCATGTAATCCTCACTGGGTTATTACAATTAATGGCAAAAGGAACGTTTGGAAATGTCATCTGATATTTCCTACTGACACACTACAGCAAAAGATAGAAATAACTGGCTTAAAACCATTTTTCTTTCTGGGTGAAAATGCTAGTGGTTTAAGACTTTTGCACAGTAGCTCTGGTTTGGGTGGTTTACGGGGGACACAAATTTGTATGGGTATGACAGAGGTATTACAATGTAAAGGTGGTTTTTGAGGACACTGTCTATGTCCCCGTAATTAAAATGGCTTAAAAAACATACTAAATGGTGTTTTTTGGAAATCTAAAAAATGCAGAAAGTAGGGTTGGGCGATAGAAAATGCCATGACGGTGATCGTTTTAATGTAGACGGTGCTCGTGCACACACAATCGGCGGAGATGCGAAAAAGCTCCAAAGACGCGCTCCGCCGCGCAAACGACGCGCTGCTGTTCGGCTGGGCAATGCAACAAGCGCGCGCCCTCCGTTCAGCGACTTTTACGTGAGCAGATCTCAGCCGTCTGCTGGAAGTTCTGGCGCAAATGTGCACTAATGACACGAAAGCGTCCGACCTACCAGCCAGCCTTAGAAAGAAATCCCTCGAAAGCAGGCAACCTGCTGGCGCGACATCAACTAATAGAGAAACGGCAGTCGGGCCACCGCGGCAGACCGCTGACGCGATGACTAACGCTGCGAAAAGAAGCTGGAAATGCAATCGATGCCTGGTGAAAAGTACGTTTGCCGTGATTTTCTAGTCGAGAACAATCCGCATTCAGGTCACATTCACCATTTTGCCCCAAAAAGCGATCCACCACGCGCCAAGAAGACAGATACACAGCAACCCCCCGAGCATCCTATCAGCCATATTTACCCCGGCAACAGGTCATGCGGGTATTTGCCATGTACCCAGGGCTCTATAATGAGAGGAGGGGACCGGTCATTGCGCCGTCATTACGAGTCAAACTAAATGAGCCGAATGATTCGCCACAGTCTGGAGGGTTATTTTGTGCACTGTTTGGACTGGGTTTTTAACTTGAACTTTAGGGTTACATCATGCGTAAATGCGTCGCGAGAGAATGAATGTGCCATTGCCATCCTGTCCTGAGGCTGCTGTAGGGCGACATCTGCAGTCACAACGCGAGTGTGCAACGCAACAGAGAAATGGGCTGCGAACACCTGTCTCGCTTCAGACTCTCGTCGATATTGTTTTACTGTTTACTGGGTCAATGACGAACTAGAATGTTAGAGATGACAAAAATCTATTTTAAAACACAGGCACCAAGTTTTTTCAATGTAATCTTTGTATTCACGTTGGATTTTTGAAAAACGTTTATACCATTTTCGCCAGAAAATGTGCTTAATGACGGCCATCATTAAATAAAAAAGTAGCCTACTGAAATACTTGATCTCGAACTTCATTATTCTTTTCAAAAAACGTTTATTTTCGCGGTATTTTCATTTTTAATGTTTTTAATCTTTATTAATTAATGGCAAAAGGAACGTTTGGAAATGTCATCTGATATTTCCTACTGACACACTACAGCAAAAGATAGAAATAACTGGCTTAAAACCATTTTTCTTTCTGGGTGAAAATGCTAGTGGTTTAAGACTTTTGCACAGTAGCTCTGGTTTGGGTGGTTTACGGGGGACACAAATTTGTATGGGTATGACAGAGGTATTACAATGTAAAGGTGGTTTTTGAGGACACTGTCTATGTCCCCGTAATTAAAATGGCTTAAAAAACATACTAAATGGTGTTTTTTGGAAATCTAAAAAATGCAGAAAGTAGGGTTGGGCGATAGAAAATGCCATTTGAACAGTAGAAAAACCATTACGCCTATGGAGAGTATATAACGTCTACTCATGCTTTTATGCGTCCTCAAAGCAAAAAAGCAACAACCTCAGAATTCATTCACTCATTCATAATAAATCTGGAAAAATTCACGTGTTGACAGTCTCTACTGTGGGCGCGGCGCTGTCGCTGTCCGTGGTGCTAAACAGCAAAGAGGTATGTGTGTCTATTAGTCCATATCATTACCATTACTAAACCCTATCATCTTGTCTGTGACTGAGTAATTTGACATCTTATTCGTTTTAATCTAGTTTAACGGTCACTTTTAATTCTTATTTTTTCCAACTACGCATACTTGCACAAATATTGTAACAAGATAAATGCAAGAGGATGTGTGAAAATATCTAACTAATAAAACACCATCATGTTGACATTTATTAGCCTATTCTTTCGAGTTTCCCTTTCCCTGACTCTCTTTCACACACACATACACTTATTAAATACATGCACACGAGTCATGGTAATATGAGAGATAATCTACATCTGGTAATGAACACAGACAAAAAGAATGACTAAAAGCTTCCAAAGAATGGCAAAAAAGATCCAAATGACTGCTTCATGCGCAATCGTAACGCTGAGGTGACTTTTACCAACACACTACTGATCTGAAGAATCTCACGGACTGCAGAAATAGAGCCCCTCCACCAGACGGAGACTTCAAGATGAGCTAAAAGATGCGCAACGCATGTAAGAGCCCATTCTGTGTGTAGGCTATAGAAGTCAGTGGAGAAGATGATGCTTCAGAATGCTGAACAAACCGCTTTTCTGTAGAAACATACTGACACAAAATAAACAAGCCGCTAATCTTTGACATGAATCTTCAACAACTGAGAGTCTACTACAAAAAAAAGAAGGTAATTTTAGGACAACCAGGTTTGTTCATCGGAATCCACAAATGGTTACAGAATGTTGTAAAACCTAAAACCTGTAGTGACTCTTTGAAAACAGATCCTTTTCATATTACATTTTAATTATTTAATACTATTCCTTGCAAAATCATACATTCATAAATGTAATTAGCTACATTTTTTTTTTCAAGAAAGAAGCTGATATAGCCTACATTTGAATCCTTTACATAGGCGAACTCTAAACATTCAATTGTTTTTAAGACAATCCAATAGTGGTATACTTTAGATTATTTCAGAATGTCATGTAGGCTATTGTAACCCTGTAAAAATGTCTTGTTTATTATTTTCTTTTTGCGGCTTATCGGTTCCAAGTTGAGGCTGGTCGCGGAGGTTGCGTCTCCTCCTTCAGGAAGCGTCTCTGGCAGCAGATCTCGCGAGAGTTGCGCGGTCGCTCGGCAGCAGTCGCTTTTGCAGCAGGGCTGAGGGAGACGGAGAGAGAAGGTAAGCGGGGAGGCTGCATCATGGCGGACAGAGACAGTGGAAGTGAGCACGGTGAATTCGCCACAGGCCCCGGCCCGATGCACCCGGGCGCCGCGTCGCGGATCCAACACGACACGGAGGAGCTCGCCTCGAAGCGGGTGGACATCCAGAACAAACGCTTCTATCTGGACGTGAAGCAGAACGCCAAAGGCCGCTTTCTGAAGATAGCAGAGGTCGGGGCCGGGGGAAACAAGAGCCGCCTGACTCTCTCCATGTCCGTCGCCGTGGAATTTCGCGACTACCTAGGAGACTTCATCGAGCACTACGCCCAGCTGGGCCCCAGCAACCCTGACACGGTGCAGGACGAGCCCAGGAGGGCGCTTAAGAGCGAGTTCCTGGTGCGCGAGAATCGGAAGTACTACATGGATCTGAAGGAGAACCAGAGGGGGCGGTTTCTCCGGATCCGGCAGACCGTCAACCGCGGGCCCGGCCTGGGAGCCTCGCAAGGCCAGACCATCGCGCTTCCCGCACAGGGACTCATAGAGTTCCGCGACGCGCTGGCCAAACTCATCGACGACTTCGGCGTGGACGAGGACCCCGCGGAGCTGCCCGAGGGCACGTCGCTGACGGTGGACAACAAGCGTTTCTTCTTCGACGTGGGGTCCAACAAGTACGGCGTCTTCATGCGGGTCAGCGAGGTGAAGCCCACCTACCGCAACTCCATCACGGTGCCCTGCAAAGTGTGGTCCAAATTCGGCGCGACCTTCTGCAAGTACGCGGACGAGATGAAGAAGATCCAGGAGCGGAGCCGGGAGCGGAGGGCGCGCGAGATGCTACCGGAGGGCCTGCACGGGGACGACGGGGACGGGGACGAGGACTAATGCATCTATGATGCACAGAACGAATGACTTGATAATCAGAAGTTACTGTAATGTGGGATCGATCTACACACACACAACCTTCACAGACTCAAACAGTTGCACCTCTTCACTCATCGCCGGAAGTTACCCACTTACCCACCATTTAACAGTAAGACGCTGCTATCGACAACATGATGTATGAACCAGGATGTCCAGGATGGTGCAGGAGTGTGTATATCCCTCTTTACCCACGTGTGTGACACATCCAAGCTCTTGTGCAGCACTGCAAAATTCCACTTGTTTTCCAGTACAAATATCTAAATATCCTGACAACTATATATATATATATATATATATATATATTAGTTCTTTTATTATTTTAAGAAAAATCCAACAGTTTGCACAATTTTATTCAGACCACTCATGACACAGCAAAAAATGTCAATACTGGAAATAAAAGAACATGCCTAGTTAATGGTAAAATGACACTATATAAAAACATGAGTGGGGTCAGTTTTAATACGATTCAGTATGCTTTCTAAACACTTCAGCACTGACACCTGTCAATCATGTTGCCAACTTGACAGCAACCGCTTCATGTGTAAAAACTGATGACCTAATGTGTTTTGCAGATTTTAAAATGTACTTTTTTAATTCAAAAAGTACAAAGTGACGTGAAAATGCTGCTGATATTCAGCATGCACATTGGGGTTATTAAAGAAAGCATGCAAAGTGAGTGGTGTCACTGTGGCTTGTTGCTTATTGGAGCAACTGACCCCACTCCTGCAGTTCTGCTTGTCAAGTAAATTATTTTAAAGATGCTGTGTATTTGACAGGATAACAAGATGGACATTTTTTGCAGTGTAATACTATTTCCAAAGGTGCAAATTGAAAAAGAAATATATAATTAGTGCTCACTTTTGACTTCCAGCACAAAAGCTATTATTTAGGAACCGTTTGAACCAAAGGTTCAACATGCAAACGAACATCAGAAGTGAAGGAACAGTGATGTGGGAGTGCTGTGAATATTTAAACATGCACTTTTGTTAGATTATCCAATTTATATAAATGGATGTCACCCCTTCTGGTTCGACTTAAAAGGTGCACTTGGACATTTTTCCATTATTTACATAACAGTTTTTCGCTGGTTGCATCATGGGGGCCGCCATGTTGAGATCACGTGACCAACCAATTAACAACATAAACTCAATGTTATTAGTCACTTACATTTGCAAAATAAATTTATCATGGCAGAAGAAGCTTCATGTCTCACATAAACCAAAAATGACTAAGTGCACCTTGAAATGCATATGAGGAAATCTAGGTATGTTGTTTACTCGTTTGCCTTTTAACTCTATACACAAAGCAAATGAGATTGTTTGTTTGCACGCGTCATGCAATGTGTGCTTCGGTAGCCGCATAGCGAAGGCATTGCTAAAACAACCGGTTGACGTTTGTTCCTGTTAAATATGAACCCTGTTGCACCATTGCCCTCTGACATTTGGGCAGACGGTTTCATTGAAGTGCTAACTTAGATATACAAACTATGATTTTGTGAATCAGATGTACTTAGATCCTTATGAAATTGCCCACGTTTTCTGTGGGAATTTTTCTTTATTTTGTTTTTGGGGACGGGGTGGGAGGGGGGCAGGTACTCAAAAAGAAGCTGTCCACTAGTGCGAGTTGCGTTAATATCTGCGCAGAGCATCCTCTACAACGTCAAAAAACAACTCTGGTGCCTTATATTCTCCACACGTTTACATGCTTTACGTGTTCGATCATTTTCTTTCCGATTGCTGTTTGTCTTTCTTTGTCGTTCGGGGTCACAACGGCGTGGAGTTTCTTCGATGACTTCTTCAACAAGCCAATCAAAGAAAGAGGCGTGCGGGCTCTTGGCCCTCCACGTTGCTGGGAAAAGAACGATGATGTCATAATCAAACAGCACTGACGTAAACATGGACGTGATGCGTTCATGTCATATCAGAATTACTTGGTTTTCCGTGGCGGTGCTCAAAGGCAAAATCGATCCATGTGCGGTTTTGTCCTTGATGTCAGACTTTGCGAAGTTTTTGTGCTCGTCAAAAACTTAGATAATTCTGGCGCGACGTGAACGCAGCAGTAGTCACCTAAAGGCGGTGGAGGTCTGCTAGTCATGCTCTGTGTAAAAAAAAAAATTAATTAATTAAAAAAAGTAACAGGTTTAAAAAAAGAAAAAGCTGAGTGTAAAAAAAACAAACAAAAAAAAACAGCGTGATAAGGTTGTATGTATGTTTCTCGCTACAGCCCAGCATTATGCTAATGTAGGCCTATATTAGTAGACTTATGGCCGAGGCAGTAGCCTGTATGATTTTTTTGTATGGTGCTAATATCCCCGTTCGTGGGATATACTTCTGCCGTTCTTACCAGTTGCTGAATTCATTTGTTGTCAACCTCGTCACATCGCACCTTGAGATTTTACTTTTCTCACTAAAGTTACAGTGCTAAAATTTCAGTATCGTGTGCAATATATTGTAGGCTGCGTGCCAGTGGTGGCGTTGCCCAAAATTCAGTCCCGCCGCAGGTTCACGTCCCCCTTCAGACCGCCAAAGCAAAACTATTTCCTAAAAAATCTTATAATGGGTACTCTATTCAATGCCTGATTGGAAATCCTACTAAATCTCTGAATGATGGTGTGATAACTATAAAAAATAATCAAAGCTACACAGTCAAATTAAACATTTGCCATTCTGTTTTTGTTAATCCAGTCGTATATTCCAGATGATACGAACTATGAATGTTAACGCTACAAAAGCATTAACAGGAAAACTACTTTTGAGTATCTAGAAGACAATAATGCAATGTTTTTGAAAAGGCATTACTGATGGCTACCTCTTGGGGTCCGAGGGGGGATCGGATTCTGCGGGACGATTGAATCTTGCGTGAGGTCGGCATTTTGTGTGTGTGGATACTCGTCCCCTGCAACGACATAAAATGTACGCTTGAGGCTCGCTCTAATCGAAACATGTCTCTGCATATTAAACTAACCTTTTTGAAAAGTTGAGGGTTTATCCTACTAACTAAACCAGTCACCACAAACAGGGACCGTCTGAAAGCACCTATGGCGGCAAATCTGCTCTCCGCCAATCAGACGCAATCCTGTATGACCTAAAAATATAGTGATGTAGTCACTTAAGCTTCTCGGTGGTTGGAGTAGTTTAATACTCGGTTGCTAATATATATATATTGTTTTTAATTTTTTTATTTTAGCCAATGTTAAATGCACAATGCTTCAGTCAGAGATATTCCTAACTATTTATTTGATAAAATAGCTTATGAATGTTGTTAGGAAAAAAGATAGACTTTTTCCTCAAACCCTCTCTCGACATAAGCCAGCTCACTAGTGTTGCAGTGAAAAGCCTGTTGCTGTCAGACCCAAATGTCACAAATACTTGGATATGTGGGGTTTTGTAAAAACGAGACCTTTATATGTACTAAAGCCACCAGCCTACGGACAGTTTGGGGGTTTCTAGCCACAGACTCCCATGCTAAAGGCCCATTTGTGCTAAGCACATGAGGAAGTCTATAGGGGATCAAGGCTGACATTATTCCTGCGGAGCGTTTGGTCTCTTTGTTTACCACTGCACAATATTAAAGCATACATATGCACTTTGTCTCGCTCGATATGCCCTCGCATCTCTTCAAGACTGAATCTGAAACGGCATGCTTCTCTTGTAGGGGCTATTTTAGGTCTATTTGTACACCGTTATATTTCTTTTCCTCTTGAGACCGGTAAGCAAATCTTTTTCCTATCACTGCCCGGATGCGATTACGAAAACTGCTCGATGCGTGCCACAGTACGAAATTTAAACTGGAAATAACATTTAAAGGTGTTTTCTAGAGCAAAACGATGCAAAAATGCACCCTCGATCGAATACACACATGTTTTAAGTCAATCATGAAGGTGCTAGTGGGTACTAAATGGCTCAGTCCTGTCTGGGTGGCATCGTACAGCCAGACTTTCTCATGTAATAGTGTTCAAGCTCTCCACCAGCAAAGACCAGCATTGGTTTGATGCACAACAGGCTGTGGGGACAAAAAATTAAACGGTACTCTGACTCCATTCTAGACTGGAAGAGCAATTTCAATCTTTTCTCCAATTCCAGGTGCTGATTCGAATGTCACCTGTCTAACGGAGCTGCACAGACACCTTAAAGCCCTCACGTATCTGCAGTTTCCAATATGAAGAGCAACCTTTTAACTTGATCTACTTGTTAATCTCATGAAGCGTGTGTGTGTGTGTGTGTGTGTGTGTGTGTGCGCGCGATTATCCGGTTCCCCTTCCCTTTTAAACCACGGCCAGTCACCAACTTGGGTTAGTTCTCATACTTCACGTTCCTTCGGTCTCACAAGCTCAAGGCTTTGACCTGCTTAGCATGTAGCTGTGAGCGTTTTGCGTATTAAGCAGACTGTCTGGGAGGGGTCCTGCATCGAGGGTCAATGCACAAGGAGGGTATTCACATATCCCACCAACCATTTCCTTTTTATTCCCTATCAAATGTGTTGTACACTTTAAATATATAAAGAAAATAAAAAATCAGCATATTATTTTTGATAGGTGAACTCACATTCAAAGATTCTATATTTACTTTCCAGGCTTTGTGACTATTGCTGTTTGGCAGAAATCTATGAAGTTCTTCTACGTATTAAAGTCTATTTTGTCTGTGTTACAGAAGGTTTACTAAAGTAAATTGCATGATGACTAAGTAGTGCACCAACTGTTATTTTCTTTAGTTGGTTAAAAATGTCTAATGAAAAAATACTGTGATGATTATTCTCATGTGTGTACCCATGTTAAAATTTAGTCATACATTCTAAGATATTCAGTTCAGCCTTTCCTATAACATGAATATGGTGCTTAAATTGGCTTAGAAATCCATCGTGTTCTACTCTTCATCATTGCCACAACCATCCTCCTCCTCTGCATCCTCTGTTTGTTCCCTTGGCTGTTTGCGTGTTCTCACAACTTTATTCAGATTTACATTTCTTGGTAACAAGTGTGTTTTTGTACAGGTACGTATGTTGTTCTTGAGTTGGAAAGCCTTTGTGTCTGAAAATGACTAATTGCAATAAATCATCCATTACTCCCTGGCAATGATTGGTTTTCGTGTTGTTGAATTCTTGTGTACACTTCCAGTGGCACTTTAGAAGAATAGTTGACCCAAAAATTACAATTCTGTCATCAAAGTTGTTTGGACCCCATTGACTTTTAAAATATCTTATTTTGTGAATAACAAAAGAAAGTCAAACAGGTTTAAAACCACACGAGGGTAAGTAAATTATGACAATTTTCATTTTTGGGTAAATTACCCGTTCAAAGCATCAAGCTAGTACAGAACATGCTAACATGAAACTAATAGTTCTTTAAAAACACAAATTGCTTTAAAATAACCTACTTTAACCCATGTGCTTTCAATTGAAACGGGAGTTTTTATGCTGAACAGCACAATCTTTTTTTCTATTGTTTATGCCACAGTTCAGAACCAAGATACATGCTACTTCCTATTGCTAGTCAGAGCTAGGTCGTGTTGGCAGGAGGAACGTTTTCACAGAGAGCATTTGGACTGTGCAGGATGATTTTTTTGGTCACACTTTATATTAAATGGCCTTAACTATTATGTGCACTAGTCAACATTTGAAGTGGATCAAAACTTTCATCAAAGTAGTCCGAAAACCTAAAAAGCGTTCTTGTCGTAAGACAACTTTGATGAATTTTTTTTTATCCACTTCAGATGTTGACTACTATACTTCAAAAATATAAGTACAATGTACCACATGATTAATTTAAGTGTAAGTACATAGTAGTTAAGGCCACGTAATATAAAGTGGGACCTTTATTTCAATATTTCAATTTAGTTTGTTTAGCATCAGCTTTAGCATCTAGTTTTCAAATGATGTCAGTGTTAACAGACATAGACTTAAAGCTACGAAACTATAATTTTGACTTAACTTGATATTAAAGGGATAGTTCGCCCAAAAATGAAAATTCTGTCATTAATTTAAAGTCATTATTTTTGTTTTCTTTGTGCACAAAAAGTATTCACGTAGCTTTGTAAAATTACGGTTGAACCCCTGATGTCACATGGATTATTTTACCGATGGCCTTGCTATGTTTTTGGACCTGGGAACATTTCAGTTGCATTGCTGTCTACGGAGGGTCAGACAGCTCTTGGATTTCATCAAAAATGTCTTAATTTGTGTTCCGAAGATGAACAAAGGTCTTACGGGTTTGGAACGACACGAGGGTGAGTAATTAATGACAGAATTTTCATTTTTGGGTGAACTAACCCTTTAACGAGCTGCCTAACAAACTTTAAATACTGAAAAACTACTGCAAGCCGTCAATGCCAATGTTCTCACTGCAGTTTCTAATGGCTATTACAGGCAATGTACTTGATATATAATTAGAAAACAATTGTATAATATTAAAGTGGTTGGTTACAGAAATTGTAGAAGTGTTATCAGGTCTGGCCTACATCTGAGGCTACATTTTCTAGAAATATCTGAAACAGCAATCATCAAGATAAAGCTTCACAAAACAAATTTCATGAACTTTGAAGCCTAAATACAGTTGGCAGAGGTAAACTCTTTCAAACTTTATTTAAAATAAAGCTTGTGAGTAGATGAGTTTATCTGTTCGGTGTGATGATGTTTAATGTCCCCAACAACCTCTGTAGTCCTTTGTTAGCAAATGCCTTTTTCAAGACAAGAAAAAGCTTTAATAAATATCATAAATGGGGTATTATGTATTTTAAGTTGCCGAATAAAAAGTGAAAATATCTTGAGCTTGGGTTAACCACACAATATATCAGATGTTTAACTAAAAACTCATTCAAAAAACCCGCTGACATTGGGACGATGGAAATAAAGGTGCAAAAATACCGAATTGTTTCTAGGTTTTAGGACTCATTCTTTCAGTGCTCTATAGTTTAACTGGCATTTTAAATTTAAGTCAACAGAAAAAAAAACTCTTTGAGAACACATATTGTCTTATCCTGGGTGATTATTCAGTGCATGTTATTTCAGAGGAGACTTGCTCCCACTAAAGTGACTTTCTTTTCAACCAAGCGGAAGTAAAATGGGTTGCCGTTTCATGTTGGCTTGAAGAGTTGCTGCCTTAGATTTGTTAATTGGCAATACCTGCTTGATAATAATGTAATAGAATTTCCCAAGAAAATCTATGATTTTGCATTACAATAAAGACATTAGATATGAGAAGAAAGATGTACCTGTGCGGTTCTGTAAGAAATAATTAATGCAACACTTGGCAAATGAGCTCCTACTAACCTGTGTGGCAGAAATAAGGACTTTAAATGAGATGAAACACAGACTCCTTCCATACAGGCAGAGATGGTGAAATAATCATCACAATCTTTTATTACAACAGCGTCTGAGTTCTACCCTAAACGGGAAAATCATGTTAGCACAACAGCCAAAGCGAAAAGTAGGCTATAGAGGTCCCTTTAAGAAAGCCATTACTAAGAATATATAAAATTGCAGCTCTTACGTCATTCCACATCCATAAAGCATAAAAGAGCCAAAAGCTCATTCTCTCACTTTCAATGTCCTCATGCTTTACAACAGGACTATAAAAATCTACTTGCACTTGCTCAAAGTTTGTACCTTTTAAGACCTATTTGGTGGCTCAAGAACAATTATCTTCCTCAAAAGTGACACGTTTCCAGGATTGAGACGTTTCGATTCGCTACAGCGATTCAGATGAAGAGGCAGGGAGGTTCATGGTGTGTTGTTTGCAGTCCTGCTGCTCAATATTCAGTCCAGGTTGAATTTTCTGCAGGCACATAGAGACACATAGAGGCTTAGTGGTCCATTGAATAGAGAAAATGAGGACGTCGCTTTCAGTCTGAAATGTTTTTCCTCTTTGTCACTGTTTTGCATACTGCACTGTCTTCCTTCCTCGCTTGTGCGCATACAATTACAATGTCCCGTACCCTGTCCCGTGTTAAGACACTGTATTTTCCAACATCCGACATATCCCTGGATCCATTAATCAGCCATCATCTCTTCAGTTAAGAGAGTTAAAAACAACGGTGCGGGTTAGGCTAAACTAATTGAGGGTCAAACGTAGTCATCTTTACAAGCATCTTCCCGCTATATTGGCTCCAAAAGGAGAAAATAAATTTACAATTAATAAATATAACATCATAAATAATTACAAGGGGGTAGTTGTATAACACTACAGACAGCCCACATGAATCTTTACATGCACCCCAACGTGCGGCTAATCCTTTAAACTGGCTACTTCATGAGGCCGATACTGTGAGCATCTCACAATTACATTAAATGCTACATCTAAACCAGACCTGTCAATCAGGAAGCCATTACCGCACACAGCCTCGGGATAGACACACGTTGTGATGTCGTAAAGAATGTCAAACGCTGAAAAGTGATTTCATGATTTATTTCAAGGTGAAATGTGTCATTTCTGTGCCACGACGGAATTGCAAATGTGACAAAAATAACGAAAACAAAAATAACGACTTTATTCAAAATATCAACACACGCATGCGTCGTGGTTTTCTTGTGAATGTGCATCTAAGACTGACACGGAGAAGATGAATTTGTTGAATAAAGTTATTTTTGTGTCTTCGCGCACAAAAAGTATTCTCATAGCTTCATAACATTGTGGTTGAACCACTGATGTCACGTGGACTATTTTAACACTGTCCTTACTACCTTTCTGGGCCTTGAACTTGGTTGTTACATTGCTGTCTATGCAGGGTCAGAAAGCGCTCGGATTGCATCAAAAAATATCTTTATTTGTGTTCTGAAGATGAACGAAGGTCTTATGGGTTTGGAACGACAACAGGGTAATTAATGACAAAATGTTCATTTTTGGGTGAACTATCCCTTTAAACATCATCATGATGAACAGGAAAGCTTATCTACTCACTAGTCGCTTTAACAGCCTTGTTGTGTTTATTATTGCGCTCTAGCAAACTATTCTATCTCAAACTTTCAGGGAAAATGTTTTTTGTTGTTGTTGGAAGATTAATGGTGGAGAAGTTGAAGTCAAGTGACCGTGGTGTAATTTGCTCATAGACTATGTTTAGCTTTTTACTTTTAGTGATTGTATTTAGGTTTCAAAATTCAAAAAAGGTTGTTGTGAAGATTATTTTGTTGAACAAAGCATGTAAGAATCATACTTTGACAAAATACTTTGTCGTCTCCACATATTAAACTGACTTTAACATTGAAATGTTAAAAACACACATTTCACCTAGTATCCCAAAGCATCACATTGTTGCTTTGTGATGTCAATGTGATGTGATGTGATGTGATGTGTTTTGCCTTTATAACACTTCTTAAAGCAACAGTTCACCCAAAAAATGAAAATTTAGTCTTCAAGTCATTCCAAACCTGTATGGCTTTCCATATATTGCGTAACACAAAAGAAGATATTTTTGAGATATGTCTCAAACATTATTTTTTTTCCCTACAATGGAAGTAAATGGGGTCTGATGTTGTTTAGGCCCCACCGTTCTTCAAAATATCT